ATATCGCATGCTTTTCCGTTTAATTGCACGTGCAGTGTGCTTTGCATGTGTCCTTGGTGACGTTTTGGCGAATATTTCATTCAAACGCTTCTAAAATAAGGGAAAAAATTAAAATTGTCGCGTTTTGGCTAAGCTAAGGTTTCAAAGCTGTTTACAATCACACAAAGATGACGTTTGAAAAGAATTTTTTTATTTGCATTGTTTTTGCCACAGCTGCATGCGTCCAATATTCTCAAAATCACATATGCGTTTCTTTTTTTGAAGAGTGTAATTTAAAAAACATAAATCAATTACCAAACATATCTTGTAAATGTATGGTTGATATGTCTTGAAGATCAGTTCATCCACATGGACTCTGTGATATGGAGACATCCACAATTCTGGATTCTATAAACGTATCCAACATGAACTTATGACAGGATTCTACCTGGACCATTTACCCCCACAATACCACATGGCACTATTACAGGCGTCCAGTTGAATCAGGTAGAGATAAACATACCTGTACCTTCTGTACGTGCAATGACACTGTTAATCTGTGAACAGTTGGTCACTTATCGCTCAAAATATATCTTGATTATACAAGGACCTCTTCCATGTTCAAACTGGTGAAACTGCTGGAATGTAGAAATAAACTTCCCATGATGAAATTTTAATTTTCTGTAAATGTTTTATTATACTTATAAGTGACCATTGCACACACCGCCGCCATGTATGTGTCTATAGGGACCTCTGTTATACTTATAAGTGACCATTGCACACACCGCCGCCATGTATGTGTCTATAGGGACCTCTGTTAACCCCCAACATGATGTCTTGTAGCCTTGAGGGAAAAATAGTTCATTGAGTTCAGTCATGAAAGGATGGAGAGCACACTGGATAATGCAGACGGGTCCATCCATCACTGAATCGAAAAGTAGCCATGGCGTGTAACTCATGCAGATTTTACGAATGTTTCGTTTATTTCAAGGAACTAGCCAAGTGATGGGAAGCATTTAGTTTGTAGGTGATCTTGCTGCGCATCAAGCAGGAGAAACGTCAATTGTCTGAAAATGCAGCTGAAATGTTGACTGTTATATTGTGCAAAACAGCCGGCCACCAGGTAGCATCAGGGATACTCTACCTTATATAGTCTCCCTGGCAGCATGCACTTGAATACAGGACTTTTAACAAAATAAATTTATATAAACGTTATGAGAACACTGGTATGTGACCAGGCTCCAAGCGATCGTGACAATACCATCCTCTCTCTGATCAGTATGTCACCAGCTGAAAAAAACTATTATTTTTACAACTTCGCCACCGTCAAACATGGATAGATACTTACTCAAGTTCTTACCGTCAGAATATATTAGAAGTTTACATAGAAGTACAAATGTTGCTGTGTCGGCGTTGGGAACCTTAAAGGCGATAAGGATGGAGAGGTTTAATTGACGGAAAACAAAGCATGAAGTCAAGTGTTTTCCTTCGTCGAATATCTTCTCGATAAAACACAACATGCAGGACACGGGACAATTAGTTTCCCCGTTGATCTGATAATGCCCTGATTGACAGGAAGCTGGACTAATGGGTGTGTCGTGTTATGTATAGAGACATGTTTACTGGCTACAGACCTATATACATGAGACAGTGTTCTCGGATTGTCAGATGCAACTGAGGCAGTGTCACGTGTGCAGGTGATAAGTTACTGTCCACTGTTCACAACCGTTACGCTTTCTGAATGAAAAATGGCGACCATCTTGAATTTCCGGTGACTAGTCAGTGTTGAGAAGTCGTTTTACATTCGACTTAAGTGATTCAGACGTGAGTAACAGATATTGCAAGAAGTTCCGTCCATAACGGCAGTAGACCACCCTGCGGGCACTCCGGGTAGTACCCTGTAACCTATTCTTGACGGGATGTCTGCCTCAGTCGCTGAGTCAAATGACCGACTGCCCTTTCTGAGATGTTAAAGGCCTCAATGAAGCAAGTCTAGATTTCCTCAGGCCCCTCAATGAAGCAAGTCTAGATTTCCTCAGGCCCAGGGTTTGTAATCTACACTAATACAGTATGGTATACAATTTTCTAAAATGTATTACGACCATACGGCTGGTGCCTCTCATATCACATGACATCAAGACCAGGGGTTGTGTGAAGACAATACTATCACCGTGGAGATCCAGCCTTATATGGAAGCTGTACGACTGTCGCTGCCGGGTGAATGTTATTACCACTGACTTAGCACCTAACCACTGCTGGTGTAAGTTTACTGTCATTGAAGTTTGCACTGCCACTCTAGCAACTACTGACGTTATAAATCCTTCCATTTTTTTTATTGATTTTGTAAGATTTTTTTTTAATGCAGTTGTTACACGTGTAACACTCCTTTGCCATTTCACACTTCCATTTGATACTGAAGTCTTTGCGTGTCATTGTTTGATCGGCAATCTAGAAGTTGGTGCGACGAAGCATAGGACTTTATGGATAGCATCGTCTTGTTTATTGTACAGAGGGACCATGAAGATTCCCACACCGTCATCGACCTCCATTGTGGCTGCGGGGTGGTGGGGTAGCCTAGTGGTTAAAGCGTTGGCTCGTCACGCTGAAGACCCGCGTTCGATTCCCCACGTGGGTACAATGTGTGAAACCCATTTCTGATGTCCCCCACCTGGAATATTGCTAAAAGCGGCGTAAAACCAAACTCACTCACTCACCATTGTGGTTGCTGATGGTGTTGACTGCCATGTTTCCATACAACCTCAGTCGAGCTTGACAACTGGGGAAGAATCGAAAGGTCGCTTTTCTCGGTTAACTCATTGTTTCAATTTGGTCGACCCTCATCGACAATCTGTGCAATATATGTAGTGTTATTATTTCATCAGTCCATTATACAAGTCTTCAACTGCCGTGCTAGGGAATCATCTAATTCGTAGCGCTTTATCATAGCTTCACTGCAATTTACTAAACAAAAGATTGCTAACACGTGTGGAGCAGAGTTACATTTATTGAATATTAACCAACGTGAATTTACACGATGACACGATGGATGATACGAGTTTTCTCACCAGCAACATAATTATTGTCAAGAAAGTTGATAAAAACAGTCAACATTTCATGCATTATAGATTGTATGAAGGGTACGACGACGTTGACATATCGACATTATAGAACAAGGTGAATCAGAGTGGGCGGGGAAATGTTACAGGTTCTCAAGTCGCTCAGGTCAGAGACCATATAATAATACATCTATTATATGGTCTCTGCTCAGGTCGATACCCAGTCCGTATCAATCGTCTTTCACCAAGGTAAAGAAGTTGTATATCCATAGAACTCTCCTCGTTGTTCATCACACCAACTTCTAAATGCCACTCAAACAAGTGTTAAACAAGGTCGCATATTCTCGCCGTTACTTTTCATCATGTTTGTAATTGACTTGATCAACAAGATGGACACAATGGGAAGGGGAGTCGGACAGCTGGACAAGTCGTCGAGGACAGTATTCTTTATTTGGATTTATAAAATAAGTCATGAACAGGAATGTATACAAGACTGTAAAATTAACACGATGGCACTGTGAAATGCCTTTTTCTCATTTCTAATATCAGAACAGAGAAAAAGGCATTTCACAGTGCCATCGTGTTCATTTTGTTTGTGGACAACACATGTTATAGGTCTCACACAGTTACAACTACCAGGGTTTGACGCGCACTGAACGATGGAACAAGGAAGGTACGCTTCAACATCTCCTTATGGGCAAGTTGAAGTCTCTGGGCGGAATGCTATGTTTTTTGGTGTAAGTGTATATATGGAAGGGCTGGTCCAATATTGATGGTCTGTTCCAGACATTACACTTATGATTATGACTAGAAACTGACATTTACAATAGTATATTTGTGTGTAGCGTGTGATGAGTTACGCCTGTGTGTAACTGAAGTGTGTGTAAAATCTGCAGCTGCCTGTTCCTTGTTTTGCTTGAAGCGGCCTACAATACCGTAAAGCGAGCCTTACACACTAAACATTTAGAAAATTACCTATGCAGCAGATATCAAGCTGTTATGTCCTTGACGTTCAGGGTTCGGCGAATTGCCATGAATTGTGTAGCACTGACAGCATAGACACACTCAATCTCAACCAGGTCTTCAAGGATTTGCGATTGACTAAAATTTGTATATGTAGTTGTTTTGACGCCGCCTGACTTCCATCGGTGAGATTGAGGACGTTTCATGACGCTCACCGATGTCCTAGAGATACGAACTCTGTACTCATCCCCTAGCTTGAAGCAGTGCTACAAAAGGTACAATACTGACCATAGCCGATACACTACAGTCGCTTTGTAAAACGGGACATCCTCTTCGTCAGGGGTGGATACAGCTTTTTGAGAGGGGGTTGGGGGTGTGTGTCACTTGATTTTCACCCGTCTTCACGGGTCATGTACTAATCTTTGCAAAACACACACACACACACACACACACACACACACACCACTTGGATCCGCCTATGTTCGTCGTTAGTTCAGTAAGCTGATGTCATGGTGCTGCTTGTCCATCTGCAAACATCCTGTCCGATGTCACATGGCATGCATGGTCACATTAATGATAGCTAATGGATTAGGATCTTTCAAGGTCATCACATGCGGGATTCTCTTTGGTACTCCTCCCACATTAAGCTGTTACTCCGCGAGATAGCCGATATATTGTTAAAAGCGTTAAACTCACTCTCACACATACAGAACACACGCTATACTGCTGGCAACATACACCCTTGGCTCAGCCCAGTTCAAGGTTGTCCAGTCTGAGCTACGTTCTTAGGCATCCAGAATCATTCGGTCGTCGGTTCGAATCCCAGACTCGCGGTCAAAGCTGCCTTAGACTCAGAACGATGAACCATGCATGATGTTGGTAGATAGCGAGGGTTAAGTCGAACTAACACATCTGTACTGTATTTTAGACTGAGGTTATACCACCATACCCTTTGGTGAAAGATTTGGAGTGATCTTCCAGGGCAAACATAACGTAACACCATTTTTGACAAGCAGACTTTATTTAGAGATTCTAACAACGATAAATGACATGATAAAATATAGTCGGTCTTTCTGTACACTTTATACAATTGACAGTCTAACAAATATCAAATCCACGACTCTTTACAACGCAGCTCACGGGGACATTGTCCCCCGAGTACAAAGCAGTTCACGGGGACAATATACCCCGAGTACAACACAGCTCACGAGGACATTATACCGCGAGTACCACGCAGCTCACGGGGACAATATACCCCGAGTACAACGCAGCTCACGGGGACATTATCTCCCGAGTACAACGCAGCTCACGTGGACAATATACCCCGAGTACAACGCAGCTCACGTGGACAATATCCCCGTGTACAACGCAGCTCACGAGGACATTATACCCCGAGTACAACGCAGCTCTCGTGGACAATATCCTAGTGTACAACGCAGCTCGCGAGGGCGTTGCCCTTCGACATCCACACATACATACTGTACAACTAGCAAAATAAATATCTATGCAAACAAGTGTAGTTTTTACAACCTAAGGCAAACTCAGTGACAAGATATGATTTCCATAAGCACGGTGAATATAACATTCTAGTACCACTCGCAGTAAGAGTCAGCTGGAAAAAGGAATTATGGGCAACTAAATTTCATAACATATAGCGAAAATGTAAGCATATTTCAGGCCTGATTCCGTGACGAATCGTAACCACTCGTCTCTTTTCGTCAACTAATAATCAGCATGTGGTTAAATATGATAAATGATATTGGCAGTAAAACACTTTTAAATACACCTCTTTAAGCAAATAAAGCACGTTGGTAGATGCAGTAAACATAACACCTCAATAGGATGCGCCACTAGGATATAACATCGTCTACAGAACCAGTCTATGTAATCTCCAGTCAAGTGACAACCGGTGTCGATCCATCATTCGTACTCTACGGAATGACACGAGTTGTCACGAACTGTCACGATCGGATCCGACATGCACGTCACGTCTGACGGGTACAACTATTTCATGAACTTCGTCCTGGTCAGAAAACTATATATGACAAACATGCATTGGAATGTTTCCCGAGCGATGTTGAACACGACCAGTATGAAACCTACACAATGTGGAGTCGATCCTTGCATTGTCAGTCTGGTGAAAGTTTAGTACACTAATCTGTTCGTGAATAGGAATAGATACGACCTGTAATGCGATGTCGAAACTTGGTTCAAATGGGATTACGGTGTCACGATAGGTTTCATATAGGTTACAATAAACTTAAATTCCTTTGTCTCCTTACGATCATCGTAACATCTATAAAGGCACACGATACAAGTGTACAGAGATCCTTGTGTTTCCACGTTGACGGGTCGGAGTTACGCTAGTCTCAAAACTTAGTCCAGGTCGTGCAGGTGGGCCCAGCTCTTCCTTCATCAGCAGCACCGAGGGGATACCTTCAGAACGGAGAGTGACGAGGTGTACCGAATGCACAACCACTCAATACCCGTGTCCCCAGATACGGGGTAGAGTGTATCCGAGTGACAGGAATTTATCAACGACAGTCCCTGAAACCCTGTGATTTGAAACACGTGATAAATAAGGCCTTGGGGTTTACACTGAAAACCTGATTGTAAATCTCGCACCGTTTCGCCCTGTCAACAGCCCCGTCCAACACAATAACAACGTAAATTCTTAAGTACATTTGTGTTGAAAGGTCTTTAAATATTGGTTCTGAAATGAAAACCCTTTCAAAATTTCTTTTTTTCCAACTTTGACAGAGCATTTTACCGTATAAAGTGATCATTGTTGACAAATAGGTCAAATCTGGAGAGAAACACTCAAGCCTTTATCATAAATCACTATAGACTCCAAATACAAGTCACACTGCACAAATATGTTTCAACACGAGTGTTGAAGATGGTCGAATACACCTCTACCCCACCCACAGCGTCTCTCCTACCCACCTCGAGCTTCTCTCCCACCTCTACCCCACCCACCCACCTCCACCCCTCGTCTGTAAAACCTGACATTAAATGCATTAATTCCATGCTATTGAAACTGAATATGAGTTACACCACGTGTTAGAAAGAACTTCCATCCTGTTGTCATTACGAGAGACGAGATATTGATTTACAAGCACCGTTACAATTATATATGTGTATCGTTTTGTTTACTTTCTGTACCAAATTAAAACTCAAGTCACGATCCACCATTCACTTGGTGGTGTTGATGTTATTGGCAATAAACGGTGGCATGATGTCGTATTCAGCGTACCGCCAGCTGTGCAGGTCACGTGACCGCGTATATCCAGCAGGTAAGTACAGCGTTATGTTAATGTGTTGCGGTATAGAAGGGCGGCTAATTCAATACCTGCATGACTCAACAATGCTATGTACTCAACTGTCGCCATGAGATTGCCCTGCTTTGGCGCTGCAGTGGAGGCCGGCTACCCATCTCAAGAAGCATCATGGAAACTGTCATTTATCGTAATAATCTTACATGTTGTCATTTACACATCCGATTTAACCAGCTGAATAGTACATTATATAAGTTTAAAGTATTGCTTCACGTGTAGAAATGGTACACAGTATAACCGAACCTGTTCGGACGCGAACCTTCCGTGTGAAGAGCGAACGCTCTGTCCACTGCCCTCAGGCCACCGCCTCTCTCTTTAGCACTAAGGCGATTGGAACTGTGATTACGAAGACCGCTAAGATCATTTTGTCAACGAGGACCAACATGCATGTAGGCACACTGACTCTTCTTCCAGAAAACTCTACAAATCTATTTTAATATCCTTTTCAGTGCATTCTCTCTTTGTTGTGCGTGTGTAGCAAGACACGCCTAGCTTCGGAACGTATATTCGCCCACGCACAGGGAGAAGAAAGACTGCGGGTTTTTTACAACTTGTGTCAAACATGTAAAACAGAATTGAATGACCTGGATTTTCAACAATTGTTATCTGCCTTCGCTGCAGTGTTTGAATGCTTGAAAGTGTTGTTTACTTTGAGTGTACAGTGTCTCAACTGACTGATTTCAACAGTAAATGTCCCAACCTTATCAGCGGAGACTACAGCTAGAAAACCCCCATGTAAGCGGGTGTTATCAGCTCGCATGGTGTAGAGTGGAGTATGGGGGTAACTCTGTGACGTCACAGTCAGTTTCCGTTACGACGTGACCGAGAAACAATGCTACGTCTGGCCATCCCCACACCCACAGCCGTGACTCCAGCCAGTCATGGCGATACACTGAAATACGACTGATCGTCAATAAATGACGGTTCAATGAAATCCGGACAAGTAGGGTTCTCATGGACAAAATCTGGATTATCGATACATTGTTATGCTGGCAAAGTGCTCGGTAATCAGCCCGAGGTGTCCGAACTGACGAGGAATCTCTGTAGATGTAAAGATGGTTTCTGGGAAACATTGCTGTCACCACACCAGCTTTCCATGTTTCCTACACTTCAAGTTTTCATTTCGGAGTGCGATACCTGCCCATGCCCTATACCATGATGTATGTATGGCAGGATCAGCTAACTGCTTGGAGGACGTGTTCCACATTGCATACAGTAGAGACACAGTTGGAATAACTTGTTACTTTCATATTCGTTACTTCGAGACATCCGCGTTCAATACGACGAGAGTCGATGTATGTCGATGAGATCATTTCCACAATGCAACTTTAACTCGACAAATCACACCAGCCTTATAAGTAGGAAACTGAATATGTTAAATTCAACAACTTATCACAATCCGACTATATTTCCATTAACTCAAAAGCTGTATATCATAAATATTTAAACCAAACTAGATGCACTATATTCCACATCGCCACGAGATCAAGACGGTATGTACAAAGCCGAGACAAATCTGCACATGTATCACTACGCTAAACACTCAACTCGCTGTTCATCTTGCTGTACACTTCATAGCACTTTATCGTTATGCTGGGTACGTTCTGGCAGGGAGACTATAAGACTATATATATGTTGTAGATTATCCCTGGTTCTGGCAAAACTTGTGCATAGGTGAATATGGCAGAATACACGCCGAGCAAGACACAACTGTGTAGCATCTGTTGCCTCATAAATAAATCATTATGACTCATTCATAACTTATCAATAACAGCAATCACGCACTGTGCATAGAACCCCTCCAACATTGAATTATGAGACCCACCCCATCCCCGAACTGCACAGTTGTCGTTCTTGATATCGATGTGTATTCTGCTTTAATTAGGTAATATCGTAATATTATGTGGTGTCGACGGTAAATGATTATACACAACATGACAATATACAGCTCAACAGCACCATGCAGGCCCCAGACCACCCTAAACACATCCTGAAAGACACGTGGGTATACTGTTGCTATAGCAACGGGGCCAGATCCAAATCTCCCTTGACTATATCTTGCTCAATGTACAAAGCACGGATGATGGGTACAAGAGACGGGTCGTATTGCTGACGAATATGTGTAGAAAAAAGCCAGGATTTACAGAGGTGAAGACACAGTTGAGTATGTTTGGGAGTTTAGACGATGAAGAAATACGACAATGTAAGACTGATCGGGCGCCTGAGACGGAGCACGAATATGACGGACCGTAATTAAACATTCATCACATTGTTAATATCAAGACATTCAACTGGCAAGTGTTATAACGGATCCTCAGGCAGCAATTTCTCACTCAATTTACCCGTAAAACAATAAAAAATGAAAATATCATGAAGATAAATTCCCTCCTCAAAACCAGGTGCATGTACATGTATATTCCGAAACTCGTTCACACCACGGTATATCGAGGGTAGCTTAATATGGAGGGAGTCCTTCTCGGATCTCCCCCGTTAAAACGTCCATGGTACCTTGACTTCCCTGCCACTGTAGGTCGGCTTCACATTCACCCCAGTAGAGAACGGGTTGGGCTAGTGGTGGGACCGACCAGGTGGGGTGGAAGTGGGGGCCCGGTGTTTCTTTTGGAAAATGATATTAATCATACAAAATAATAATCAGCTCTGTGCTCAGTAGCTAGGTTGAGTTCCGTCAAATATTTTCACTTGCCAGGAGTCACGTCATATTTTTGCATATAAATCAACAATTACGGCAACAACAAAATTCAAGTATAGCTACATCGTCAACATGGCGTCGCCTACTAGGTTGTCGGGGACAGTGTTGATGTACGGCTACACCTACTGATCCATTCCGTACTTGATGACGTACTCATTTCGAAATAACATATTTATTGAAAGAGGTTTCAGAAAGTGGTCAAGAAATTGTTATTTTGTGAGAGTTGTAGCTGTACATCAAAACAGTTGCGGATACCCGAGTCATTTCCCGGCACTCAATAGTCCATGTGTACCAGTTAACAATAACACCATATGTTCCAATCGAAATGCTACATATGGCAGTGTGCCAAGGTCAACCCAGTACAGTACAAATTAGAATCCAGGTGATTTAGGTCAGATGAACCGGGTGATCGTTATGGTAACAGTTTGATTATAGAGTATCCAACATTATGCTGCGGCAAAAGAAGATCCCAGATATTCTCTGATAGCACTATGGTGAAAGAACGGAAGTAAGAACAATGATGTTAGACTTGCATATGCAATAGAGGGATGTTGGCCCATTTCCCGGTGTATGTACATATTATGACTATGCGAACCTAACACCCATGTTATGTCGCCAGCAACAGGCACATCTAAAACACCCTGACTCAGCATTACCCTCTGTCAACCAGCAGACAACTAAAACAAGTCAAGAGTTTGCCACATTCAGAAACGTAGACAGTGTGGCGCACTCACCCCTAGTGTTCGAGGGATAAAATCATGGTCAAAACGAATGAACTATGTTCAGTTAATATGTCAAGTGGAATATTTCTAAGAATGCACTAGAACACAAATATGTCGCTTTCCCAGTCACGTGATGGTCGACATACCTGCCCGCTTGCTTACCGCGTCTATTTCCTCCGAGAAGGACATGTTGTTGTTGTCAGAAAGACATTTCAATGAAAGGCCGTGTCATAAATCACAGTCATCTATTGCTACAAGTCACTCTATTCACAGTTGTTTGCCATGAAGTCCAAATTGACTCGCTAATGTGTCCGTTGTGAATGCAGCTTCCTGAACGACGCATACAAAATGGAACAAGGACAGACCTGTTCACACCTTGTTACCACGTTTCTGGGGTAACCTGGTATAACCTGGGGTAATCCAAGTCAGTCACGCCGTTCTTTGACTCCTGTATACAACACACCTAGGTCACTACTAGTTCTCATATGCATCGCACACAATGACTATGACGTCACTCGAATCTGTCACACACAATCACTATGACGTCACTAATCTCCCTGAAGGTGTGGTTCGAGCAGCATCTAGGCGGTTATAGGTGGTAACTACTCCTCGTCTGTGGTCGGGCCATCTGCTGGGTGTAGCTCCGCGGGCACCACAGACGCTGCCAGGTCACACCGGGCACATCCAAGGAAACACGAGGCAGTGGTCAGTCGACTTCAGCATTATGTTTTAGCTGCACCATTAACTCACTGGAATGCAAATGATGGGCTTTGTACAGAACACTGACAACACCTGGGATAGAGCTGGCGACGGAGGGAGACGGATTCCTGACAGCTGATGCAGATGCACACGTGATGATGATGTCCACAGAACCGCTCCACTATTATACACCAGGGGTAACTCCATCAACACACTCCGCCACCAGACTATCTATACACATGCCATGCTGAATGGTGTTCCAGGAAATATTGGCTCTTGTTTTGGCGACCGTTACATCCATTATCCCATGCTCCTGTTAGTGTACACATCATCATCATCATCATCATCATCAATCCTGTTGCATCACTGGTTATTATACAAGGGTGTCTTAAATGTAGGTCGAACAAATGCATATAATTACTGTTTAACACCTACCCACAAATGTTGATTTGGGTACATGTACGTACACACGTTGATAACACTTGCGTGTAACTACTGACTTGTTGCATAAAACAGTTAATCGAAGCATGTCACTATATTGTCCAACTTCACTTGCAGAATGCCACTCAAGAAACAGCAGGAATCCAGAACATCATGACCCGATAGTCCTGCACCGAGAGTCTGCCACCAAAGAATCTCTTTCTCGGAGTGACGAGGCATTAGCCATGTTATTACTTACTATATATATGAACTCACACCATCCAATCAGATTATCAGAACTGCAAACGAGAAGTTCCATATAAGTTACACTATTTACATCAGTTCACAAATCAACGTAGTTGCTCATTTAGCAGACTTCCTTCACGTATGTCTATATACAAGCGTTCACAGATCGATGTAGTTCAACCACTTCATCTACACAACGGTTTCATCCAAGTCCATCTCCACCTCATTGCTCTCCTGAACGTGGTACAACTTGCCAGTGTCTCGGATCTGTTTGGTGGCCATGTTGACCAAGTCTTTCTCCTGCTGCTTGACCATCTTCTCCACGCGCTCTACCGTGTCATTGAAGTCAAACTGGTCGGCGCGTTCCCTGATGGTGATAGTGTGGTCAACTTCGATGACATTCTTCCCCTTCAGCGCCATGACTGGAGCGGCGTTCCTAGCAATCAGCTTCCCGACCTCAGCCAAGCAAGACTGAGGCTTTGATATCGCATCTGTGTCCGAGATGTACTGCAGCTCTGGGAAGTTGTTGGTCTCGCGGAGTTCCTTGTATGAGCAGGGCACGCAGACACAGGCGCTGTTCACCTTCGTGAAGAATGTCGTCTGCATCTTCCCCTGGGCCAGACGGTAGAAGTAGGTGGTCAGTCTGCTTGGCCGTTCATGGTTCAAGGACAACTGATTGAACTCTTGGATGACCTTGAGCGTTCCGTGATCCTCCCCACAAAGGTCACACAGTGTGCTGGTGTAAGTCATCCCAAGGCTCCGGCTCTGAACACTCTCGCTCTTCAAACGCCTCAAGTTGTGGTTCACTCCATTAAACTTTTTCACGATTTCGTCGAAGTTGGTCAACAATGAGATACTTGCATCTTGTTCACTGTCGTACGCCGAAGAGGAGGCCACAGAAGACATTGATGTACTCGGCGTCATTGACGACAGCGGGGACATGGGTGACAGCGGGGACATTGGCGACATCGGTGACGGTGGAACGCTCCCATAGTCAAACCTCATGAAACAGATGGGACACCTCAGACTGGTATACCGTCTAGCCATGTGTTTCCGAAGGCAGTGGTGGCACAGGACATGTCCGCAAGGGAAGGTGTCGGGGGCTTTGCTCACCTGGACGGTCTTAGAGTAATCCGTCGTGTTGTTATTGTTTACATTATCATTCTCCCTATACTTGGCCGCATCGAACAGCTGCACCGGACTCTCCGGTTCGTACATGAACGTGGGCTGGTAGGAGCCCCCACCCCCATTCGTCTCCGAGGCGTCGTACAGCTTGATGGGACGGCCTGCCATGATGACGGCGCGGGTATCACACACACCTAAAACTACACACTGACGACTCACATCTCCGACGTAACATCAGGCCAATCAATAACTACTTGTCTTAGTAACCGGAGTTCCACAGAAATACCACATATAGTCCTCTTCGGAGACGTCTCACGTGTTGTCACTTATTGGCGGGAAAAAGCTTGCGTATCTTCTCACTCTCCACCCTTGTCTGTCCGGGCTTCAATAGCGCTGCACTGCAAAGGGTCCTGAAAAGAAACGAAAAGTATTAGTGAACCTGCTGAGACGGTGCAGCATATAAAGGACCTATTCTCTACAATGAATGAAAGCAGAGAAAGGTGGCACAGTTGAAACTTGCTCGTTACTTAAAGAAGTCGCCCACCTGACCTTCCTCGCGGTGTAAATATTAATACAACACACACAGCCCTTGTGGAGGACATCTCGTCAATACACGAATACATGGCCTGCATACTGAGCATCTACAGGAATGTTGTAATACTGAGATCCTAACACCAAGTCGGGCTTAATAAAATCTAATTCCAGTGTAACTTTGAGGATCAGAATGAATTATGCGGGATGAAACCACGATACCTACAATTAGCCTGTTGTCAGGTGTTGTGTAGGCAAGAGAAAGGAGGCCTTCATTGTAAGGTGTCGCGTCACGTGTATCGCTAAACCAGACAGCATGCATGTTGGGGAGGGGGAGGGGGGATGTTTCATCTGCTGAAGATCACGTTGTTGAGCCGTGGTCGTGGACGTTGCTGTCCACGGGACTACAGGGAGCTAGTGTTGACGCAGTCTTTACATGGCAGCTAGGCTCGAGTTCTGGCAGTTGACTCAAGTACATATATATATACACGTTATTGTTTGTAACTTCAAACCTATTGCAATAAAGTCTTTCCTTAGTACCAGAGACAATGTTCCAGCTTGATACAAGGCACTCATTACGGAGATCAAGTCAGGAAATGGTCTGAGGCCGGCCCCCTATTGTGGGAAATGATTTCACCGAAACACGTCCACTACCACTTTAACCAACTCAGTGAGCAAGACGTGGAGCAAACAGTGATCAGGATCATTCATTCAGGCAAACAGTGATCAGGATCATTCATTCAGGCAAACAGTGATCAGGATCATTCATTCAGGAAAACAGTGATCAGGATCATTCATTCAGGCAAACAGTGATCAGGATCATTCATTCAGGCAAACAGTGATCAGGATCATTCATTCAGGCAAACAGTGATCAGGATCATTCATTCAGGCAAACAGTGATCAGGATCATTCATTCAGGCAAACAGTGATCAGGATCATTCATTCAGGCAAACAGTGATCAGGATCATTCATTCAGGCAAACAGTGATCAGGATCATTCATTCAGGCAAACAGTGATCATGATCATTCATTCAGGCAAACAGTGATCAGGATCATTCATTCAGGCAAACAGTGATCAGGATCATTCATTCAGGCAAACAGTGATCAGGATCATTCATTCAGGCAAACAGTGATCAGGATCATTCATTCAGGCAAACAGTGATCAGGATCATTCATTCAGGCAAACAGTGATCAGGATCATTCATTCAGGCAAACAGTGATCAGGATCATTCATTCAGGCAATCACATTCATTCAGGGCAAACAGTGATCAGGATCATTCATTCAGGCAAACAGTGATCAGGATCATTCATTCAGGCAAACAGTGATCAGGATCATTCATTCAGGCAAACAGTGATCAGGATCATTCATTCAGGCAAACAGTGATCAGGATCATTCATTCAGGCAAACATTCAGTGATCAGTGATCATTCATTTCAGGCAAACAGTGATCAGGATCATTCATTCAGGCAAACAGTGATCAGGATCATTCATTCAGGCAAACAGTGATCAGGATCATTCAGGCAAACAGTCATTCAGGCAAACAGTGATCAGGATCATTCATTCAGGCAAACAGTGATCAGGATCATTCATTCAGGCAAACAAACAGTGATGATCAGGATCATTCATTCAGGCAAACTGTGATCAGGATCATTCATTCAGGCAAACTGTGATCAGGATCATTCATTCAGGCAAACAGTGATCAGGATCATTCATTCAGGCAAACAGTGATCAGGATCATTCATTCAGGCAAACAGTGATCAGGATCATTCATTCAGGCAAACTGTGATCAGATGACGCCTGACTATGTTTCCAGGCAAACAGTGATCAGGACTTCAAGGCAAGAAGAGCTTCATTCTGTAAATAGCGAGTAAACTGTGGTCAATCGGACACAGGTTTTTCAACAATAAGCCAACCCATAGAATCTGTAATCTGGACATCGTATCTGACCACACCGACTCGTGTTACTGTCAACTGAGAACACACAGACTAACACACATATCAATCATATATACTCGTATGTCGCAAGTAAATGTGTCATAAGAATTCACATTTTGCAATACCCCATGCATATACTGTGTGAGGAAGGCATTTACAGCGATCTGAAGACTCAAACAAGGTCTTTGAGTAAGATGAGATGGCACCTGAAGCAATGGCCAACCATACTGCACGAGGCAATAAGGGCCCAAGAGGCAGGGTTGGGCAAGTGCATACTCTTTACAAACTCGAACATGATCAAAATAGTCTTGACTGTAAAACTTAGAAAATATGATTGATCACTAAATAAGAAACCAATTTCAAAACGTTAATCGCATTCTACTGTCCGGCAGCGCAACACAAAGCGGTGTTTGTCTAAGCAGTAGCGTTATTCTTGGGGATCTGTGCGCATGAATACATCAACATTTCATCTGGATATAAAAGTGTTCTGGTGATTAAGAAAGGGACGCGCCAGTACACTCCACGTTCACCACCACCGCAGTATTGGCCCTGCTATGAGGTAAGTTGTCCTGTTTTCACTGAAGGTAATGCAGTGTTCACCCCGGTTAATGGTGCATCCACGTCGAACACAACATCAAGCAGGGCGACTCTGTTGACGGATATAGTGCTCAGTACAAACCTGGCTGCATAATAACAACAGCCCTGCCCATGTGCTCCACGGGACAATTCCAGTTCTCTCTGAGGAGACGCCTGGCGCAACTCTTGTACTTTACCATGCTTGAAGCAGTTCACTCATATAGAGACGACACAACTCATATAGACACGACACAACTCATATAGACACGACAAAACTCATAGAGACACGACACAACTCATATAGAGACGACACAACTCATATAGAGACGACACAACTCATATAGACACGACACAACTCATAGGGAGACGACACAACTCATAGGGAGACGACACAACTCATATAGACACGACACAACTCATATAGACACGACACATCCTATATAGACACGACACAACTCATACGGAGACGACACAACTCATATAGACACGACACAACTCATATGGAGACGACACAACTCATATAGACACGACACAACTCATATAGACACGACACAACTCATATAGAGACGACACAACTCATATAGACACGAAACAACTCATATAGACACGACACAACCTATATAGACACGACACAACTCATACGGAGACGACACAACTCACATAGACACAACACAACTCATAGGGAGACGACACAACTCATATAGACACGACACAACTCATAGGGAGACACACAACTCATATAGACACGACACAACTCATAGGGAGACGACACAACTCATATAGACACGACACAACCCATATAGAGACGACACAACTCATATAGACACGACACAACTCATAGGGAGACGACACAACTCATATCGACACGACACAACTCATAGGGAGACGACACAACTCATATAGACACGACACAACTCATAGAGACACGACACAACTCATATAGACACGACACAACTCATAGGGAGACGACACAACTCATACACGGGAAAAGTCGAGTCAGGTTATTAACCACTTACAATAACCAAGTTATTTCTCTGCTAACGCACATGTAATGATGCGTATCAATTAATGGTCATCAAACAGCAGTAATTACAAAACCTAGAACTATTCACCAGGCCGTTTCCCACAATCCATCAGTACCTACATACATACCCTCATCAGGTTGTATTCGCCTGACATGTTGCTGGATCAGCCATGCAGGGAAGGAGAATAAACAATTCCCAATCCGGTCAGGAACCAAATGATCCGTGTAAACCTGCGTTAATCTGTTCAGACTTAATCTGGCGTTATGCGGCGCTGTAAGCTGGCCTCAACACACGCATACACGGTGTTCAGATGCTAAGTATTGCGTTATCTGGCGCTGTAAGCTGGCCTCAACACACGCATACACGGTGTTCAGATGCTAAGTATTGCGTTATGCGGCGCTGTAAGCTGGCCTCAACACACGCATACACGGTGTTCAGATGCTAAGTATTGCGTTATGCGGCGCTGTAAGCTGGCCTCAACACGCATACACGGTGTTCAGATGCTAAGTATTGCGTTATGTGGCGCTGTAAGCTGGCCTCAACACACACATACACGGTGTTCAGATGCTAAGTATTGCGTTATGCGGCGCTGTAAGCTGGCCTCAACACGCATACACGGTGTTCAGATGCTAAGTATTAACATGGGATCCGAGGGTGAGACTTGAATACAGGCTGGTTGGCGAAAAGTTGACGTTATCCAGGATGGGTACGTGAACCTTCACAGCAAACACCTGTGTTCAAACATTAGACATAGCCACGAGCAATGTGGGTGAATCTTGTATGCAGGGTGAACAATATGGCAATATAATAATGATACTATTACCATATAATATACGCAGTCACACCGCCATGTGTTTGATGATGAGGGTGATTGCTTTACCCCCGGCACCACGTCTTCCCGGGAGCAGGTGACGTAGTACTCGGTTTATGAAGGCGCGGGGATATCTGGGACTGATCAAAGAAGTGCGACCCGCCCTTGCTACATAATTCCACGGAACGTGCTAATAAATGCGGTAAAACAGTACAATAATCTCGTAGTCAGGTGTCAGGAATGTAGTACTGGCCACATACTATTGTCCGAAGACAAAGTACAGTAAACATACAGGCCAGTCCTGAGATGGATGTTGGATCTATACAACACGTGGGTGGATCATGTATCAACATACAGTACAGTACACATGATTGTACACCACCAGGGGCGCTGTGTACACATGGCGGTCACCGACACACCAGTGACTCACTCCCAACGATGGAGTACACAGTGGCCATACAGCAACAGCAAGTGACCAGTGACCTTGGGGGTTTAGCACTGTGAACACTGAGAGACTGGAATCAGGAAAATAA